ATTAATTATTCCTTTTAATTTTGGTATTTTATGAGTAGCTTAATTATTATATGTAACGAACGTTATGTATTTTTTTTACTATTGTTTAAATTTGAATATAGTATTTTAATTGTTATTTGTGATGTATTTCGCTTTAGGTATGTTTTTTTCTGTAATACTTATAGTTAAGCTATAGTATTCGTGTTGTATATAAATGCTTGGTATATTTTTGTTGTATTTGTTTAATTGGTTATTATTTGTTATAGTATTAAAAATTTGTTGGTATATTAATTATAGTTAAGGCGTGTTTTTCTCATAAGTTCTCTACAAATTAGGCACTTCTTTTATTCTTTTTATATAGTCACATATATCTAGAATAATATTTAAAATATATTTTATATATAGATAGTAACAATTCATTTTGTACATTTTTGTTGTCAAACATCTTTGCAACCAAAACGATTTTTGCCCGAACACTTACGGACTATTTTGGCCCCATGTATATATATCTTGATACTCATATATGTATGTATATATATATGGAAGGTGATATATACATATATATAATTTGTATTTTTCTCAGAATTTTTGTTGTTTTTCTACAAGTTTACTTAATTCAACACTTTTTGCGCTTAATTTACAATAAGGTTTTGTAATAGCATTAATTTTGTTTCAGTATTAAAAAAAAGTATTTTTTTAGTATATTTTCTAAATGAACTCTCATTAAGTTTCGTTGAGCTTTATTTATGTTTTGAAAAGACTTTCTGTTGGTATTTTCAAATAGTTATTTTGGTATTTTTTTTGGTGAACTGCACCTAAAAGTTCAACAAGGATTTTTTGTTTGTATAGATAGAGTGTGTGTATGTGTATGTTTGAGGGCGTCGTATTGAAGGGGTGGGGGGGGGGGCGTGGCGGGGCAATATGAAATGTGTGTCACATTTTGTGTGTGTGTGAGAGGTGGAGAGAGAGAGAGCAAGGCAGAGAGAGAGAGAGAGAGATAGAGAGCTAGACAGCCTGGCGGCTGGTATTGCTGTAGGTGTATGTGTGTGTATAGTATTTGTATGTGTGTGTCACACGTTTGCCACGTGCATTACGTCCCTTTTGGTGGGCGTGTGCGAGTGTCTCTGTGTGTGGCTGCTGTTGATTCAATTTGTTGTTGGGGTTTATTTTTGTATGAAAATTGCGTATACGACATGTTTGACGTGGCAGACAAATGCGCTTGGATTCTGATTTCGTTTTTCGTTCTTTTTTTGGTATTTATTTTATTTGTTGTTGTATATATATATACAGATATTTATATATATATATTTTATGCTTATTTTTTTATGTTGGTTTATTCTTGTACGTAGGAAAGAAACATAAATTACTTATAACAATACATAGTTCAGATGCATTATAGAAATAACGTGCAAAAGTATATTGTAAACAATTGTTTCTGTATGTATGTAGTATATATATATTTGTTTATAAATATATATATGTATATGTATGTTGTTGTGTGAAAAAACAAGATATATATGTATATTTATATAGATATATATAAAGAGGTATATATATCGTATATATTTGAGTAAGTTGAGTTGTTTGTTTGACAGACAGAGTGAGTGTGACAAAGACAGAGAGAGACAGAGAAACAGTTAGAGAGAGAGAGAGAGACAGAAAGAGTGTGAGAGTAAGAGAATTATTTGTTCTTAAGAGACTTTGCGGCTGAGTTTCAAAATGAAATGCAGAAACTTCTGTAGTTTGTGTGAGTGTGCGAGAACCCAACGAGTGTGTGTAAGTGTTTCTGTGTGTTTGTGTGTGTGTTTTGTGGTCTGTTTAAAATAACAATTTGTTGTACAATTTGTATTGCATATTTACAAAAAAATCAAAATAAAAACAAATTATAAATAAATATATATTATTTCATAGGGGTATTTTGAAGGGGGGTTAGAAGTGTTGGTTAGACCTCTTTGTTGTTCTTGTTGTTTGATAAGCAAAGTAACGCAATAAAAACAACAAACTTGAGTAAATGTTATATATAATTAATCATAT